CCTTTGGGGCTGTGTCCTTGGAGTTCTTTGTTACACAAGTTGTATTAGTACGTTGTATACTACTCTCTTAACTTAGTCCTAGTTGAGATTACCTTTTTAAAGCACTGGTATAGTAATACAAACTTCAGTCTGAAAAGGCAAATTAACAAAGAGAAAGGCTGTTGGACATCTCTCGTGTTAGACATGGCATAATGCTTGCTTTGAGTTACTTGATAATAGTTTTCATTTTTAATTATATTTAATGTGTGTTGAGGTCAGAGAATGATTTGCTACAGGAGTTGATTTTTCTCTTTCTCTGTGTGGATCCCACAGATCAAACTCAGGTCCTTGGGCTTGGCAGCAAGCACCTTCTCACCTGCTCTTTTTTGTTTGCTTGCTTGTTTAGTTTTTGAGGTAGGGTCTCCCTGTAGCCCCAGCTGGTATAGAACTTGCTGTGTAGACCAGGCTGACCTAGAATTCTCCATCTCCTGTCTCACCCTCCTGAGTTCTAGTATTGCGTGATGGCACATGCCTGGCTTAATAGTGCTTCTTTATAAATGTCCTTGGAGATCAGGGCCAGGAGGTAACAAAACCTGTTCAGGGGCTGGGCGTGGTGGCTCACGCTGTTGATCCCAACACTCAGAAGCAGAGGCAGGTGGATCTTTGTGAGTTCAAGGCCAGCCTGGTCTACATAGTGAGCTCCAGGCCAGCTAGGGCTACAGGGAGACCCTGTCTCAAAAAGACCAGAAAAGAAAAGGAAAAAAACAACAACAGTGTCTGTCACATTTCACAGGTTGGAGAAAGCAGGCTAAATGAAGGTCAAAAACAGCTTCTAGATCTTGACTTTGTAGGGATGGCTCTCTCATGTGACTGTGATCGCCCTTTGTAGTATGGATTGATGTTGATGAGCCTTTTATCAATGCTAGTGTTTTCTCATGGGTTGCTTTCTTCTGTTTGTTGCAGACCCCCGTAAAAGAGCCCAACAGTGAAAATGTAGATATCAGCAGTGGAGGAGGTGTGACGGGCTGGAAGAGCAAGTGCTGCTGAGTGCTCTCCTGCCATCCGTTCCATCCACCATCCATTTTTCTTCTTGCTACAAATAAAACACTGTCCATTTTTAACTCTAAACAGATACTTTTGTTCCTCATCTTAAACTGTTCAATCCACCCATTTTATTTGTTCTTTCATCTGTGACTGCTTGCAGACTATTATAATTTTCTTCAAGCAAACAAAAAAAATGTATAGAAAAATCATGTCTGTGACTTCATTTTCAAATGTATTTGCTCAGTTCACCACTGCATTTCAGTTGTATTATAGTCCAGTTCTTATCAACATTAAAACTCTATAGCAATCATTTCAACTATTCTGCAAATTGTATAAGAATAAAAGTTAGAATTGACAATTTTATTTTGTACAACAGTGGAACCTTCTGTCATGAATAATGTGCTTGAGTCCCTATAATCTATAGACATGTGATAGCAAAAGAAACAAAAGCCAGGAAAACACTCATTTTCGCCTTGAATATGTAGTGGGGTTAATTTTGTCCTGTGCCTTATGTGGAAAGGAATGTCTTTGGTTTTTCCTTTTTATTTGGTGGAAGCATGTGCAGGAGACATATCATCCAGACATACACCATCAGATGCTCGTGGTTTGCTTGGCTGTAATTTTCACAGTAGTTAATTGAGGATGAAGGGTAATGCAGAAATGATAACTTTGGTTTGCAGAGTCTCATTTTCAGTGGCCTTGATATTTAAAACGATTCCTGCCACCAGGTCTTCTCGGCCACTACCTACCTGCGTCTCTTCTTTCTGCATGCTGCTTCATTTGCTTCTCCCCACTACTCATGGTATGAGTATTTTAAAATGAAAGGGACAAGCCAGCAGGTTTGTCAAGTTTAGCTTAAAGCACTGATTTAACTTGCTAAGAAAACTGAAAGATAAATTCTAACTGCCTACTAGCAAACATCAGTTAATTAGTGTCTTCCCCTCATTTACTCGCTTCTTTAAAAAAAAAAAAAAAAAAACCTTTTTCTTGCTGTTTGACTTCTCTGTTCCTCTTCTCCTTGCCCTTGTTCCCTCCCTGTCTATCCATTGAGTTTATGAAATGGAAGAGTTATTGCATGCACTAGTGTTTGGAGGGTGTTGTGGTTTGTCTTTCTAATTAGGTGTATATCCTATTCACTTTCCTAGGATAAATCTCTTAACCTGAATTTGAGCAGTCTCTGTTTTGGCAGCTCCTCTGGCAGTTGGTAGCCCAGGAAAGACTGTTTAAAACAACAACAACAAACAAACAAACAAAAAAAACAGAAAAGAGGAGTAGGTTTTTCTACTAACACATTTGCCAAATGTATTGAGATTTGGCCTCTGAAGAACACTTTCAGTGTTAGGTTGTCTCTACCTTAAGATTTAGAATTACTTTATAATATTAATTTTTATCCTTTTGGAAAACTTGTATTACCATGAATTTAGAAAAAGGACAACAAAAGGCTCCCGTGTAAAGCTAAGATCTCTGGCTCTTTCTAACCCAGTCCTTTCTTCGTCTGTCTAGTTTGACTTTGTTGCTTCTCATTAGGATGGATAGGGTAGTTTGCTATGCTGCTAGCATCCTAAGATGATACCTTTGTTGAAATAATTGTGAATAGCATGATTCATTTCAAGCAGAGGCTGAGTTTAGGACAGCAGCTTCATTGAAAAGGTTTCTGTGTTGTGACATGCATTTTAATGACCTCTTGGCTCACATAAACAACATAAGGACACATCTGCTATGAAAACCCATGAACAGTTCAGATAGTGCCCTAAAGACAGTTTTATATGCCTCCCTCACTGGTTATTAAGTTTCCCCCCTCACTTTATCATTGTTTACTAGTAAAAAGCAGCATTGCCAAATAATCCCTAATTTCCCACTAAAAAAAATAATGAAATGTTAAAGCTTTCTGAAGTTTTAGGTTAAACCTAGTATTGTTAGATTAATGTATGTGTTGTTTCCCTTTATTTGGAATGTGGCAGTAGCTCTTTTACTTGGAACCTGCTTGGAATCTTTAATTCAGTGACTTAAGGTTTGAGAGCTGAACACTGGGATTTTGGCTAACAGACTGACAGTTTTGTTTGCATAATTATAATCAGCATTGTACATAGAAAGGATATGGCTACCTTTTGTTAAATCTGCACTTTCTAAATATCAAAAAAGGGAAATGGAGTATAAATCAATTTTTGTATAATCTGTTTGAAACCTGAGTTTATTTGCTTAATACTAGGGCTTTGTCCCTTTTCTGTAAGTCTCCTGGGATCCTATGTAGAAGCTGTTCTCATTAAACACCAACAGTTAAGTCCATTCTCTGGTACTAGCTACAAATTCGGTTTCATATTCTACTTAACAATTTAAATAAACAGAAATATTTCTAGATGGTCTACTTCTGTTCATATAAAAACAAAACTTGATTTCCAACTCTGTGGTTTGGTTTTCATTTATTTTTGGAGTTGAAGGTGGAGGATTTCTTATGAAAACAATGTGGGAGGGCACACTGTTAAGTGTGGCAAAAATAGAAGGGAGATAATTTTCTCAGCTTGTGGAAAAACGGGAGAGCTACTTCAAGAATTGTATAGGAAACTATTAAAACCCAAGAAGGAGCTCTTGGACACTAAAGCTCTCCTCCTGATAGAGAACAGTGGTCCCAGGCCCTCCAACTCACACTTAATTGAAATGTGCCAAGGGTCAAGTGAAACCCACTGATGACCCAGGACACCCAGGTAGGCTGACCATACTGCTGTGGCCTTGTTTAGACAGAGGCTGTCCTCTTACCTGAAAAAGTATTTCCTACTTTGTGAACCACAGCATTGGTCCTATGTGAGTATTGGCAAAAGCAATGTTTAATCAAGGCCTTATCGGTAGACATAAATATTTGCCAATTATCTCTGCTGAAGATGATCCCAGAGGACTTTTCATATGCAGTTTGTAATGCTGCCATTCCTTTCTCCCTGACCTGACATACTCTTTCTCTATGTCTAGGGTAAAGCCTTTCTGCTTTTCAAATTTCTATAAACAAGAGGATATAATTTCTGCCCATGAAATTCATTATCTGTCTTAGAAAGCAAAAGTAATCCAGTAGTTAGATGTGGGTGGCGTACGCCTGTAACCTCAGCACTTGGCATGCTGAGGTGGGAGGATCTTGAGTTGGAAGCCAGCCTGGGTTACATAGTCCCTGCCTTTAAAACACACACACACACACAACTCGGGAACTCTTGCCATTAAGGGTCATTGAGCTACAAAGTGATATCTCAGTGCACGTTAACTATATGGTTTGTGGTATTTATTGGATACCAGTGAGGCACAGGAATAAATAGTAATTAGTGGCATCTCTACAGGAAGCTGAAATAGTAAAGTTTATAGGATTATGGTGATCTGGCTTGCTATAAGAATTTATTACTTTTTTAGAAGAGTGAGATTCTCATTAGATCTGAAAAGAGTAATAATTTCTAAGTACTCCAGTGAGGTGATGTGTATGTTTGGTTTTTGTTTTGAGGTAGGGTCTCATGTAGCCCACAAGCTCTAGAACTTGTTTATAGGTAGCCACAGGTGATGCTGAACTCATTCTCCTGCCTCCTCCCAGGTACAGAGATTACAGGGGAAAAACACCATGTCCTGTTTATTTGGTGCTGGAGATTGAACCAAGGGCCTTATATTTGCTAGACAAGCATTCTTACCACTGAACTACATCCCCAGCCCCTTTAGTGAGTTCTTGCATTGCTGGGGTTTAGTGCTAATCCATTTGCTTCAGACTCCAGATGTGCAGGTAGCAGAACTGGTGTTGCTTTGAAAATGATAGGAGGATGGGGCTAGAGAGATGGCTTCACAGTTAAGATCACTGACTGCTCTTGCAGAGGACCTGGGTCCCAGCACCCACATGGCAGCTAACATCTGTAACTCTGGTATTGGGATCCGATGCTGTCTTCTAGTCTCTGAGGCCATTCCACGACATGGATGCACTTACCTACATGGAGGCAATACATTGATACACAGAAAAAATTTCTTTCAAATGATAGGAGAGGCCGTTTCACCTGGGTGTCTTCAGAAGGGCCTGAAGGGTTCCTTTAAAGCCTCTGAAGTACCATGTTGTGAATCACAAGAATTGTTTGGGCCTGCAAGATTTTGAAGACTGATTTTGTGAGGTTGAACTCACCTGAAGGTGAGTTCCGGCATGGGGGCGGGATATCTACAGTCATCCCATACCTAGCCTGGGAAACAGGCTTCATGAAGCACCTCAACACCCAGCTCTCGCCCAGCACTACTTTTACTTTTCAGAGGCCATTGATGTTTCACCAGGAAATGATCATTTGATGAGAGTTCCTTTAAGGAATACCTACCACTGATAGGAATCACTTCCAGCTTAAAATTCTAGGTTGCTCATATGAGAAAATAACGTTAGTTTTTGTTGTCAGCAAACCTCCCCCTGCCTCACCTTGTTGAGACTGTCTGTCTGGCCTGGTCCCTAGGTAGCCCAGACTGCCCTTGAACTAGCAGCAGTTCTTATGTCTCAGCCTCCTGAGTGCTAGGATTATAGCTGTGTACCACCATGTTGGACCTAATTTACTTGTAATCACCCAGCTTTGAGACTGCTGCTGAATCTGACATTCTGTCACTTCATCCTGTTGTTTCCATACATGAACTTAGGGCTGCCAGCCATCCCTACTCACTCCAGCCTCAAAAAGTAATAAGGGCTGGGGATAATTCAGTTGTAAAGTGCTTAACTCCCTGGGTTTAATTCCCAGCACCCAAAAAAGGGGGACAACAGTGGCAGTATCTCATTTTCCTACAAATCCCCCCCCCCATAAAACCCAGCAATGAGGACCACATAGGCATCAGAAAGCATTTTACAGTGAGCTGGCAGGATGGCTCAGCAGGTAAGAGCACGTGCTGCCAGGCTTAGTGACCTGAGTTCAGCCCCGAGACCCACATGGTAGAAGGAAAGAACTACTGCAAGTTGCCCTCCAACTACTTGGCCCATGTGTGTGCACGCAAAATCATTTTTAAAGTAAAAGAAAAAAATTTTAAGTTGACAAAGTTCTCACAAAACCCCAAATAGAAGCAGAGCCAAGCTGACAAAGAGCTGTGTGGTGTCTCCTTATGTGCAGGAGAAAGCAGAGGGAAAGGGGTGGGGTGTAAGTTCTTCCACAGCTGCCCGGGGGCCTCAGCTCCAGAAGCCAAGTGGAGAGCAAGGACCTGAACACAAGGCTTGGCACACGGTAATGCAAGGGTTGGTGGGTGGAGACCATTTCCTGTCTCCAACCTGGTTCTTCCCAACCCTCCAAGAATGGGTCGGGCAGAAGGAAAACAAAGATAACTATTGACCATGCTGGAATAAACTCCAGGGCCTTCAGTGGCAAGAGGATGCCAATGGAGAGATGTTTCAACTCAAGTTCCCAGCAGGCTTTGGGGTGTCTAGCTGAGAGGTTGTAGGTGTTATATCTCTATACTTTCAGAGACTTCTGGATGACAAGAGACTGCTTACAGCTCCAAAACTCTTGGAGTACTTCAGAGAGCCAGCTGAGAGCAGTCCCTTGCAGGCAAAGGTCTGTTCTCTCCCGCAGGTCTTGAAGGCTGGAGGGCCCTGGTGGCAGAGGCAAGAATGAGTCCCTCTGCCTGCAGCCCTGGAGGCTGACTGGAGTGAGCTCCAGGCCAGGACAAGCCTCAGGCAAGTCTGTTTCCAGAGAACTTTCTGCCAGGGCTGTGAACTGGGGGATTTGGAGGTGAGTGGAGAAACCTTCTCTTCTGGCCCTGGCCTCTGAAGTCTTTGTGTCTTCCTCCTCCAGTGATGTTCTGTGAAAGTGAGTTGAAGCCTCAGGCGAGGGTTAAATTTGTTAAACCAGCTGGGCCCTGGTTGACTGAATGTTGGCACAAAAATAAGGTGAGACTTAGCCCAATCAAGGATGGGATGAGCTGTCAGCCCCTTGAGCTGTTCCCAGTTGCTATAATAATCATTGTAGGCTTCCTGCTTGGTTTACTTGGCTTTGACTGTCAAATATGAATAAGATGTATTGTACAAAATGCACAAAAGTTCAATAAAAATATATATCGAAGGAAAAAAAAGTCTGAGCTGCTTGGGGGTGGGGTTTGTTTTGCCAGTGCTACTGTCTCCAGTACTGGAAGGGAGCTACGCATCAGCACCCTTGTCACTGGATTATACACATACACCACCTTACCTGTTTTGTTTGTTTAATTTGTGGGGGCCTGTGGGGGACAGATGAAAGCATCAGATCCCCTGAGCCTGTAGTAACACGGTTATGAGCTGCAGGATATGGGTGCTGGGAACTGAATTCTGGTCTGCAAGGGCAGCAAGTACTCTTAACCCCTGAGCCATCTCTCTAGTCACTGCTTTTCTTTTTTTTTTTTTTTTTTTTTTAAATATTCTTTTTTAAAATTTTTATTTATTTTTATTTTATGTTTATGCATGTATTATTGCCTGCATGTAAGTAAGTGCACCCGTGTCGTGCAATGCCCATGAAAGTCAGAAGAGGCTGTCAGATCCCCTGGGACTGGAGTTACAGACAGTT